TTAAGCAACTGAAGCATGCGTGGTTCTCCTTCACAGCCTTTATCCTATTTTCTAGATTTAGCGAGGCAAACTTCTGGCACTGATCAGTCCAGCGACTTGAATTTTTGCAGATCCAACACTTGTGTGGGAGACCTGACTTTGGAGCGTTAATATCGGATCCAAAATGGCCAACAGGATGCCTTGTTGATGGGCCTGTGCTTCTCAATGCTGCCGTCGCTCTCATCCTGGACTTCATCTCAGTTTTCATCCACGCAATAAGCTGCGCCAGGGTCGCCTCCTTTCCGCTGTTCTCTAATTGTCGCGCCCATACTTTACGGTCGTCAGTACACATTCTCTGCTCGATAAGGGCCAGCATGTGGTTGTTGTCCATGTCATTCGGACGTCCAACCTCTTTCAGTGTGGTAAAACTTCTTTGCACAAGGTGCACCAAATCACAAAACCTAGCATCTTCTCCATCGCGAAGAGGTCTGAACTTAGTGATGTCCTGGGTTATGGTGTCTGCTACGAATCTAGGGTCGCCGTACACTGAGTCGAGATAGCTCCATGCGGCGTCGTAATCTGTACCGATACTTTTAATCAAGTCTAGCGGTCGCCCTTGTAAGCTAGTACGGAGCAAAGAAATTCCATCTCTCTTGCTGTATCTGCTATCCACAGCGTGTTTGAAGTCTGACCGGAAGATCGCATAGTCCCTGACGTCCCCTGCGAAGCGAGGCATTTTCGGCTTCTCCATCTTAAAATCACAAGAAGTATTTACGCTGCTTTCATGTTTGGTGCCGTTGTTACCGTTTCCTCCAGGATTTTCTCCAGCTATCGTATGTCCATTTCTTGACTCAGTTTCTGTTCCGTTCGCAGCTGTGGCCTTAACACTTGCTTTGCCTTGTCCTGCTGAATTTCCCACTTGTTTCGTGATTTCCATCTCAATTACGCTCTCTGAGTCCTTCGCTCCGCTTTCCAGCTCCGAAGTTCCGCTCTCCAATCCTGATTTTCCACTTTCCACGACCGGTGTTCCGTTGTCCAATGCCGACTTTCCGTTATCCAATCCTGGGTTTTCGCTTTCCACCGCGGGTGTTCCGTTGTCTGATGCTGACTTTCCGCCGTACAATCCCGATTTTTCGCTTTCCACGACGGGTGTTCTGTTGTCCGATGCCGACTTTCCGCTGTCCAATCCAGATTTTTCGCCTTTCGATACCGATTTCGCTTTCGAGTAATCCTTTGCACCGATTTCCATCTGAAGATAGAAGTCCTCGCACTCCTCCAACCATTTCTCCTCCGCTTCGAATGCTTCATCGTCCTGAATCAACTGTGTGTATTCCTCGTGCTTTACCACCAAGTTCTCGAACGCTGTTTTCATGCCGTGAAAGGTTTCCATAATTTCGTCTCTGGGCCAGCTCTCTTTTAGCTTTTTGCGCAAGGTATTCCCACGGCGGGTAAGCGCTGCCTTCGCCGTCTTCCTCTTTCTTTTAGCCTCGTCCAATGCCGCTTCTGCTTCTGCCATCATTAGTTTTCACCCTTCGGACTCCGGTAAGCAGAGAAATCGAATTGAAGTGGTCCGTCGGATGAAAACCAAATTACGTGACTCTGAACAATCCCGAATCGTATAAATTTTACAAGAATTTTATTCGATCTGAAACAATAAAATAAATAACATTCCTAAACAACAGAACCTAACCAAAAATAAGAGACCTAAGCACATCATATAATCTAAAAAACACAAACAGATTTAACCGCTAATTACATGCGGTCTTACAGAAATTACACTAAGGCCATCCCAATTTAATGCTTCGTTTCCCATCGCCCGACCGACCCATTTTTTTGGAAAAGTAAAAAAAAAAAAATTCTTGATTCACTAGTCAAAGAGGCAAGTACTTTAATTAACAAGCACATGATCTTGTCGTATTTACACCAATTGTCATAAATTAACATCGATACAACGTTTTTAAAGCCTTTTTAGACATTTGACAGTAGTTTTAATATACATCTTTTACCATCCGATTATATCTTCAAGACCAAATGTGAGATTTAACATGCAAAAGTAACTGGAACACAAACGGAATGTTTCTTGGAAAAGAACATTTCGTCAAGACAGCTTTCTTCATTAAACAGTAACTTTCTTACAGTCTTGCTTGTCAGTTTCAATCTCATAATGGGGGCGACTGATGATCATGAAAGTTTAGTTCTAACACGAAGTTGCATTCAAGGTTTCTTCTTCTTCTTTCCGGCGGATGCTGTTACTGTTTTCGGGGCGGAGACAACAGGCCTGGCGTACGATGAAGATTTCTGCTACAGGATGTCCTTCTGGGAGGATTGGAGCTCCGCAAGTGTACATAAGGGTATCTACAGCCCGATGGAATTGATCCGTGCTTGCACGAGGCGGTTTAGTTGGAGTATACACGCACCTCCACTTGCCACAGCTCACACATTCAACTGCGTTACGCACCTTCTCTTTTGTGAAGTAAGCCTTCCCAGACTTGTTCTCTTGGGTCTGCCCCAGGACGATCAACCTCTACGGTGTCTTGGCCAAAGATGTCATCAAAGGCTTTGTAATGCTCCTTGGCTGCATCCGTAAACTGAGGGTCTGGAAGCCACGTCAACTGTCTAAACTCGAGGAGTGGAAGGCGTGGGGGACGGCAAGTCTTACAAACAGGCATTCTAATGACCTCGCGGATGAAGTCGACGTTGACACCATCAGCATCTTTAAGTTTAAGGAGCCCTTCAACAGATGGTGCTTGTTCAATGGCTCGCTGAAGCAAAACTTTGCTGTGATCAGTTAAGGATCCATTTGTGTAGATGGCATTCTTCACTTCCTCTCGATGTTGATCAGATGGTGGAGCAGCTAAGCATTTCTTTACTTGAAATGAATATTGCCGTATTCTGCAATGTTCCTTATACCATACCTGCAGCTTTTCTTTCTTCAAGAGAATGGCCTTTTGAGTTTCGTCCACTTTAATGGACTCGTCAATTTCGTGAACTGCAAGAAACTGCTCGTGGATCTGCTCGTCACTGGCTGGCGGTAAAATCTGAAACTGGCTACCTTTCAGAGACAATCGGCTAAATCGGTTGTTGAGTATAGACAACGGCTTCTGCAGGCTGTCATTGATGACCGCTTTTACGTCAGGATTCTTTTCAGCTGCAGCCCGCATCTCCTTCATGTTGGTGGGAGTCTTGATTAATTCCTCCTTCTCTTTACTCATTTCCTCCCGAGAAAGTGAAACCCCATTAAGTGCTAAGTTCAACACAGACATTATACGCTCTGTTGGATTTGCCCACGAGTTACCAGGACAAGGGTTGACTCCTACGACCATAACTAGATTGTGCCTCTGGAAAGTTGAGATGGATGCTAACTGTGTCTGTCCATGGCGAACATTATGATCCGGACCTCCATCAGTGATACTAGCAACAATCGCCTTCCCTGAAGAACCGATGAGGTGTGAATTTTCTGTTGCATGTCTGAGTGCTGAAGACGGCTGGAAAATTGAATCTTTAACTGCAACATACACCTGTAAAAATGTAAAGGGAATTAATTATTGCATTAACTGTCTGCCCATTGAGTTTTGTTTAAGTACCTCAGCTTGATTTCGTCTAAAGATATAACGATATACTTTTTAAACAGACAAGAATGTAGCTTTTGCGACGTAAAAGTTACCACTACTTAATCTATAATAATTGATTTGTGTTTGCTGGTACCTCTCTTCCATACTTAAAACGCCTTAGGAACTGAGGCGGCTCATTCAAATAATGTATTATTAACTACGTCTACATGTACCTGTCCTTGATAAAGTGAGTCACCAGGGTCGCTGGGTATTTCTGGGATTAAAGTCACACTGGGGGTCACATGAATGCGGCAGAAGTCGTGATCTAACGCCAAGGGCCTTGTCGACTCTGGACCGGTCACAAGCACTCTTCTTCCTCTGTCTGCTGATGCCAAAGGACAGTGTGGTTCCCCAATATTGATGAAATGCTTGTCGTCTTCCATAAGCAAGAACGAGTGGACTTTAAACTTCACCAGGAACGATCTCAGGTACTTTGCCAAAGCTGCACAGTAGTGTACGTCTGGATGGATATGCCTAATTTGCCTAGTTTGAACATGAAACCGAACATTGAACCTTCCAGTGTACTGGGTCGCAGAACGTGAACTGGGGTCTTTTGGCCAAAACTGATAGCGAACCCAGGCCTCAAATGGAATTGGGGTTTCTTCGGGTAACTTTTCTTTCACTTGTTTCATCAAATCAGGCACACTTATGGCTACGGGCATGTATCCCACATCTCCATGTCTCCTTTCTTGAGCTGCCATGTGCTCTTCTAGATAAGACCCTAAGGCTTCCCAGAACACCTCGTACTTCTCTGGACGAACAAATGGAGAGATAACTATACTTGACAAATAACACTTCGTTGAGGCCTTGCTTCAGGAATAAGTTCTATTAATGATTTACTTTTTAGTGGACCGTAGTTACTGCAAACGGCGCGTCACGGCACGAATGTAGACGAAAATTACCCTAGCTGGCCTCAAGATGGATGTTTACGGAGAACAAAGCTGATGAAACTTTTCATGTGACTTATACATATCTTTATTCGATGGCCGGCCGAAGAGACATCGATCGGACTTACAAATGTCTCTCTGAATGGAGATTCTTTCTCGTGAAAAGCTGCATTTGCTCATATATTTTGTCCTGTTTTTGACAACCTTACGAATGTGTTACCGGAGTATCAAAGGTATTCTGGGTAGTTGTGAGTCGTTATGTTTGCTATTCATTATGCTTTTCAATTTTTTTTGGTTTCTTTTGTTGTGGGATCGTTGTGGGTCGTTTTGAGATCGTCCTCGGTCATTTGAAGATCGTTGTGGGTCGTTCCGGGATTTAGTGACTACCACAAGCATATACCTCCAAATCGTGTGCATATCATCCAGATTCCGAGTGCTGCACCTTCTTTCATGGGAATTTGAGCAATCCGAAATCCCCTGAAGATACACTTTTGTACTTGTAGGTCATCTGTTACATGTTGAAGTCGGCTGATCTACACGAAACTATCCTTACACCGGTCATTTGTCATAAACATGTACGTTATCACGATGGCGTGACGCCGTATTTCTCCAAAGAAGACGAGAAATGGATATTTTTAATAGATGTCAGCACATTTCCGCTTTCTGAAGTAAAAATAACCCAAAAAAAAGAGGAAAACTTCGATTGAACGCTTGTAAACACTGAGAATCTGAGAGTATAAATCGTAACTTGTCAGCGGAAGTAATACATGTAAAACCTAGTTGCAACAATAGCAGTTTAAACGACATAGGCATCTCCTCACAAAGAGCAGATTCGGGCAGTCATTATTTCCTTAGGACAGGAACTAAGATATTTCGAATCATCTGAAAACTGTCAGAAAACTGTCAGAAAATTTGCATAAGATATGATGAGGAGAGACTTTTCACCGTCGCAATGCAATCGAGTCAATCAATGTTTCCTTCCATGTCTTGATAAAGAAAAAAAATCATAACAAAGTTTGAAATAAAAGATTTAATGAAATCATAATGTCATAATTGTTCCAAGGGAAAATGGTTCTCGGACGAATGATTGGATACAGAATCGTATAATCTTTATATTGTTTTATTCGATCTATAAGAAAGATACAAAATTTTTGAGAAACCTAATCTAATGCGTGCGATTGATGAAATTGCACGGGAACTAACAATTCTCAATTCAATCGGTTACAAAACAAATTACTTACTTCTGTGGCGATATCCAATCAAACGTATTTCAATAACAGGTCAGCAAAACGGGTCAGCAGATCGAACAGTAATACACTACAGATTAGCGACGTTCAACGTAAAGTCCGTAAGGTACAAAACGCTTATGACCTTTGTCTCTGATTTCGCGTTACTAACGCGAAATCAGAGACAAAGTTAAGTAAGTTACTTAAAACGTGTCCTAACTGAATGATCAAGTTACTTAGTTATTACGCCATCGACTGTCAATCACGCGGCAAACCAAACAATCAAATGTCAATAAACGGATTAAATATCAATCAACGAAACAATAATTCCACCTTTCATCATCATCGTGGACAAAGGCCACAATGATGATGAAAGGTAGAATTATCCACCTTTATGTGGCCTTTGTCCACAATGATGTCATAATCTTAATTGGAGAGAACTTTTTCATACGAATACGTAAAAAAGGATCTTATAGGATTTAAAAAATACACACTATAATATAATTTGATGCTATGATATATGAAAACTATTAAAATGTACAAGGTATCATCTAAAATCATGAAAATGAGAATTTAAAAGATTGTGCTGAAAAATATCTACGCTCATGAATGATCTGATTGCCTGGCTAATGGTGTTAAAATCCTTGATGGAATGAAATGCAGTCCCTTGTTTGCCCCAGTTCCTTTGGACACCTGGAAGTCTGAAATTTAGTTCTGTTCTGATGTTATGATTATGTTGTTCCTGGTGTCTTATGAAATTCATATCATGCCGAACAAGTCCATTCAAACACTTGTACACATAGGCTGTGTTTTCACTAGGCCGATTAACTAGCTGAACATTCTTTCTAGGTGTTTGTTTACAGACCGACATTTACTAGTTAAACTTGACATCTGTTCACTGTGAAATTTAAGCCGTTTACTCAGAAGATTCAAATTACAAAAGCGCGCAACTTTAAAAAAATGGCGGGAGACGAAGCATTTTTAATGACTCCTCTTGTGCTGATTCTCGCCATATTTCTTCGAAGGAGACGACGTTTCTTTCAGAAGATGCGACTAATGTCTCGAGGAATGGAAAGGACGCGACGGATTGTGGTAATCCGGACAATCCAAAACACCCGCTATCGCCATAACCACAAGACAGTGTGGGTTTATCCAAGACCACAGTTTTGGTTTGAACAGCTCCTTTTAAACCGATATCAAGATCATCTATGGCGAGAGCACTTCAGGGTAAGCAGGGATACATTCCAACACATTTGTGGTCTCGTTGGCCCTCAGTTAATGCGGCAGAATACAATTCTTCGTGAAGCAATCACCGTAGAGAAGCGAGTGGCTGTTGCTCTGTGGAGGTTAGCTACTGGAATTTCGTATAGAACCGTGGGATTAACGTTTGGGATCGGCCGATGTACTGCCATGAATGTCAAGGACGAATTCTGCTCTGCCTTGATGAGAAGAGCTAATGATTTCATCAAATTTCCTAAGGCTGAGGCCGAAACAAGGCAAGCAATACAGAAATTTCAAGACATCAGTCACTTCCCTCAGGTAATAGGAGCACTTGATGGGTGTCATATACCAATTAAAGCCCCGAATGAAGAACCAAACGAGTACGTAAATCGAAAAAGCTTTCATAGCATTGTTTTGCAAGATGTTGCTGATGCTAATAGAAAGTTCTTGCACGTTAGTACCAGCTATGCAGGGAGTATTCACGATGCTCGCGTGCTACGAATGAGCTCCCTACTCACAGCAATAGAAGACGGCGATATTTTGCATTCCCCATTGCGTCGGATAGGCGGTGTGTAG